CATGTGGGGGGTGCATGAGTGTGTGCATGCATGTGGGTGTGGGTGTGCATGCATGAGTGTGTGTGGGTGTGCGTGAGTGCATGCGTGTGGGTGTGCATGTGTGTGTGGGTGTGCATGAGTGCATGCATGCATGTGTGTGGGTGTGCATGAGTGCGTGCGTGCATGTGTGTGGGGGTGTGCATGAGTGCGTGCATGCATGTGTATGTGAGCGTGCATGCATGCGTGCGTGCATGCATGTGTGGGGGGGCGTGCATGCATGTGTGGGGGTGTGCTTGAGTACGTGTGTGCATGTGTGTGGATGTGCATGGGTGCGTGCATGCATGTGTGTGGGTGTGCATGCGTGCGTGCATGCATGTGTGTGGGGGTGTGCATGAGTGCGTGCATGTGTGGGGGGTGTGCATGCGTGTGTGTGGGTGTGCATGAGTGCGTGCGTGCATTGTGTGGTGTGCATGAGTGCGTGCATGCGTGTGTGGGTGTGCATGAGTGCGTTCCTGTGTGTGTGTGTGGGTGTGCATGAGTGCGTGCATGCATGTGTGTGGGGGTGTGCATGAGTGCATGCATGCATGTGGGGGGGTGTGCATGGGTGTGTGCATGTGTGTGTGCATGCATGTGTGTGTGGGTGTGCATGAGAGTGTGCATGCATGTGTGTGTATATTAAGACTACATTTGGCCCCATGGAAAGAGCCAAGATGTCCATCCACAGATGAATGGATAAAGAAAATGTGGTATATATATACAATGGAGTATTATGCAGCCATCAAAAGGAATGAAATCTTGCCATTTGCAACGACATGGATGGAACTGGAGGGTTTTATGCTGAGCGAAGTAAGCCAATCAGAGAAAGACATGTATCATATGACCTCACTGATATGAGGAATTCTTAATCTCAGGAAACAAACTGAGGTTGCTGGAGTGGTGGGGGGTGGGAGGGATGGGGTGGCTGGGTGATAGACATTGGGGAGAGTATGTGCTATGGTGAGCACTGTAAATTGTGTAAGACTGTTGAATCACAGACCTGTACCTCTGAAACAAATAATACATTATATGTAAAAAAAAAAAAAAGAAGAAGAAGAAGAAAAAGATAGCAGGAAGGGAAAAATGAAGGGGGTGGAAATCGGAGGGGGAGACGAACCATGAGAGACGATGGACTCTGAGAAATAAACTGAGGGTTCTACAGGGGAGGGGGGTGGGGGGATGGGTTAGCCTGGTGATGGGTATTAAAGAGGGCACTTACTGAATGGAGCACTGGGTGTTATATGCAAACAATGAATCATGGAACACTACATCAAAAACTAATGATGCAATGTATGGTGATTAACAAAAAAAAAATGATTACATTTGGTCACAAAAGAAACCCTGAAGTAAAGTGAAGAGAGGTCTTTAAAGATAAATATTTATGTCTCTCTTATATATAAGTCCTGATAGACAGCCCAGACCTGATGTGGCTTCTTTATGATTCAAGAACCCAGGTTCCTTCTATCTCATAGCTCCTCCATACATGGATTCCATTCTCAAATTTATTTCTTGGTCCAATATGGCTGTTCTAGCTCCTGCCATCACATCCATATTCCAGCCAATAGAAAGGATAGAAGGGATATAGGAGAAATATAAGAAGGAAGAGAAGAAGGGGTTGTGGATTGAACTGTGTCTACCAAAAAGATATGTTGAAGCCCTAACCCCCAGAATCTGTCAATGTGACCTTAGTTGGAAATGGGGTTTCTGCAAATGTAACCAAGATAAATTACTGTGGGGGCGCCTGGGTGGCTCAGATGGTTAAGCGTCTGCCTTCGGCTCGGGTCATGATCCCAGGGTCCTGGGATCGAGCCCCGCATCAGGCTCCTGGCTCAGCGGGGAGCCTGCTTCTCCCTCTCCCTCTGCCTCTCTCCCTGCTCATGCTCTCTCTCTCCCTCTCTGTATCTCTGTCTCAAGTGAATAAATAAAATCTTTTAAAAAAAAAAAAGATGAATTACTGTGGATCCGAGTCCAATATGACCAGTGTCCTCATAAAAAAGAGGAGAGACACAGATTTAGACACACAGGCAAGAATGTCACGTGAAGACAGAGGCAGATATTGGAATGATGGGTCTCTAGGCCAAGGAAGGCCGAGGATTGCCAGCAACACTGGAAGCTAGGAGAAGGGCATGCAACAGATTCTCTCCTGGAGCCATCAAGACAGCATGGCCGTGCTGATAGGACTTCTGGCTCCAGAGCAGTAAGAGAATAAATTTCTGTTGTTTAAAGCCACTCTGTTTATGCTACTTTGTTATGCCAGCCCTAAGAAACCTGATACAGAAAGCCAAGGGGAAGACAAGGAAGACAAAAGGGAGCAGCAGAGCTCAAAGTTTATCAGCTACCCTTACAGAGGGTTCCAGGAAGCTGCCACATCCTAGTGCTCACATCCCACTGAATGTAGTTAGACGTGGTCACAGCTCCCTGCAAGGACATCTTTATTCTGGAATCTCTGTGCCCAACTCATATGTTTCTCACAATGGGGGGTGGAAAAGGGAGAACAGTGATCTTTTTAAAAATTTAGATAAATGGCATCAACAATGGTGTTCCTTTTGCAATTAAAAAAAAAAAATCATTGTTTGAAAGATTTATCCAGGTTGAAACGTGTAGCTCTAAATCACTATGTTTACAAGCGATATACTAGTCTACCGTGAGAATTTACCACCACTTATATTCTGAATAGGATAACATTTTTTCACTTTTTTTCTCTTATAAACATCGCCGCAGTAAATGCTGTACTATCTCCGCGAGCATCTGTGGGAGAATCTCCCTAAAAGCGTATACTTCAGGTAGAAGGTCCAAGTGACAGCATCTGTACATTTGCAACTTTTAAAGATATTTCTGAATCGTTTTCCCAAGTGGTTGTGCCAGTGTATACCCTCTCCTGCAATATATCCCATTTTACTACCAACATATGATTTTATTGGACTTTCTAATTTTTTCCAAAAGTATAAGTGAAACAATAAAATGTACCCATTTTAAGTGTACAGTTAAGTAAGTCTCGACAAACATATACCCCCATGTCAGTACTGCCACAAGCAAGACACAGAATATTTCGATCAGAGAAACTAATCCCTTCATGCCCTGTAAAACAGTCTGAAGCCAAGAGATTTGAAAAATTTAAATGAAATGCAAATACTTCTTTAAAAACAACTTAGCAAAACTGACACAAGAAACAGCAGAAAATCTGAATACTCCTTTAGCTGCAAGAATGCTGAATGCTCCTTTAGATACAAGAAATTGTATCTGCAGTTATAATCCATCCCTCCTACGTGCGCGCGCACACACACACGCACACACTCCTGGCCCAAATGAGTTTACTAGCAAACTCTTTTGAGTTAAGGAGGAAAAAAACAACAATCTAACAGAATTCTTAAATTCAAAACAATCTCATTCAAAATCCCAGCAGGTTTTTTTTGTTGTGGAAGGTCACTACAGGATTCTAAAATGCATATGGAAATGCAAAGGGTCAACAGAGTAAAGATAATCTTGAACAAGAACAAAGTTGGAGGAGAGCTGGTGGGGGTGGGGGGCGTCAGTAACGGTCTATGCCTTGATCAGGTGGTGGTCTCATGGGAGTCACCACTTTAGAAAAATTCAAGGAGTTGTTGGCTTGAAGTTTGTGCATGTTGCTCTATGTGTGTTATATGTTAATAACAATGCTGACAAAACAAAATAGGCTCCACAACAAAACCCTCTATTTGCCAGGAGCAATGGTTTCCTGGAAAGCATCCCGCTATTTGTACCCACCACTTTGGTGGGGTATCTTTCAGTGGTTAAAAACATTAGCTGACGGGCGCCTGGGTGGCTCAGTTTGTTAAGCGACTGCCTTCGGCTCAGGTTATGATCCTGGAGTCCCGGGATCGAGTCCCACATCGGGCTCCCTGCTTGGCGGGGAGTCTGCTTCTCCCTCTCCCGCTCCCCCCTCTTGTGCTCTCTCTCTCTCTCACTCTCTCTCTCAAATAAATAAAAAAATTTAAAAAAAAATCTTTATAAAAAAAAACATTAGCTGAGGAATCAGCCAGACTCACCTTCAAATTTGACTCTGCTGCTTGGATTGATAAAATGACTTTGGAAAATGGATTGGTGGTATCTAGCCGTGAATGTGTGCACAGCCTAGGACCCTGCAACCAAGCTGCTAAGCATCCACTCAACCTAAATGAGATATACAGTCAGAAATTTGAAACAACTCAAGTCCCAAGGACTGATCACCTTCGGGCAAGTTGCTTTACCTCTTTGAATTTCAACTTCCATATTTGTGAAATGGACATCCTAACACCTACAGCTACCTCGTAGGCTTGTGTCCAGGCAAGGAAAGCAGTCAAGACTAGCATCTAACATACAGTACAAGCTCAACAAATGATCGATGATATTCTCATCTGACTTTTAAATACAGATGCCATCATCTGCCCTAATAAAGTATAAGATGCCTCCCCCACTGCTCCTACAAGCCCTGGACTTCTCCCGACCTCAACGTCCACATGATGTTTACCGAGTGAGACAGCTAGGGTGGGAAAGGTTATTCTATTTGAGAAATCTCAACCTAGGTCTGCACAAAAGCTCCCGGTGGACTAAATGGGGAAGGAGGGGTGTTGCGGAGCTCCCTCTCCTCTCCCTTGTCTGAGACCATGGTACCCCCATCTGTTCAGCAAAGGCTTCAGGTCACACCCCATGCTCCTTCCTCCCCCAGAATCGCCAGCCATCAATGAGCTGCCTCTGCCGAGTTCACTCCATCTGGAATCCTCTGGGAAAACAGACACGGATTGTGTACACTGCAGAATTAGCCTTTATATTTCACTGTGTCTGTTGAGGCGGCGGTGAACCAGATGTGGTTTTCGGCAGACATGACTTCAAAAGCCGTAAACACACTTATCAGTAAACTGCAGAGCATGAGGCAGCCGGCAACAGTCAAGGTCACTGACAGGTGACATGGCAAATAAAGGGAGATTAAAAGCCATGCCTTGTCTGACATGGGCCCATTTGATACTTACCAATGGCAGGATACGGAACATTGCTTACTCTTGATGGGAAGTCATTGAACATAGTGTAATTTCTTGCAAAGTGAGTCCCTGCCATTTTTCTCTAGAGGAAAAAAAAAAAAAAGGAAAAGAAATAAAACAAAATACAGGTAAGCTCTCTGCTGCTGGTCTACGTATTTTTGTTTATGTATTACTAACTTTTTTTAAGAGTTTGCCATTGGCCAGATTTTCTGCTAAGGGTTCCCCCTTTTGATCCCCAGTCCGACCATCTTTATCCTCATTTTAATAATTATTCTCTCTTTCCAGGAGGGGAAACTGAGACTTGGGAGACTTACGGTAACCTTCCCAAGATAGTCAGTGACCAGCCAAGACTGGAACACAGAGATTATGTTATAACACTTATGCATGATGACAGAGATTTACTCTCGGTGAAGGTGAGAGTGTATTAGGAGGACATCCAGATGGCTTGGCTTTCTGGCAGTATGAACAATTGGCATGCAAACGGAATCCTACCTAATTTTTGGACACCATCCTCCTCTGCAGTCGAGAAATGTGCACACTAAAAAATTGCTAGAAATGGTTATTTGCATGCCGGGGCAACAGAACCAACATCCCTCGATTCTGCATCTCTGTGGCATAAGGAGGATTTCCATATATCAAGCTTTCTTCTATCCCAAATAACACCTACATATGCCAAGGAAATGTACTATTTGAAAAAGGCTATTCAAAGACAACTTTTGCTTTTCACTCACTAATCTATCATTAAGTGTAGATTTAAAAAACCAGTTTGAAAATCAGGTCTCAACCACAAGGCACATCCACTAAGAATAAACCAAATTAAAATGGTATGATTCTCTAAATATTTGGTGTCTTAAAGTTTGTCCCAGACATACGTAAGCTAGAGTCACCATTTCCTTTGAGTTTTAAATATATTTGACCTAAGCTGCCATCCCAAGTCCTTGGAGTCTAACATCCTCCCAAGATTTTTGTGGAATCATCAGGGTTTATGTTCCTCTTGATTACATCTGCCTGTAAGTTCCTACCCCCTGTTACTCTCCCTGTCACACACATTTTATCTCTCAAGGCCCTTCTCTTCTCTGCAGTGTGTGGACCCAGGGAGTCACAGCTTCCTTTTCTGGTGTTCCTTATTATGTCTGTCATTGTCAACACTTTGAGCTGACCAAGAGGGGTTCTACCACAGCAATGCCAATACCTTAAAATTGGCCATTAGAGATCTCAAGTCTACTTGACCCCCTAACTCAACCTCTACCTCACACTTCCAGAACTGGCAGAATAAGCTCTGTTCCAGCCTCTGTGGCCCTCACGGTTTCTCAGTCATGCCAAATTCATTCCTACCCCAGGGCTTTTGCACTTGCCAGATGATTGTCCCTCAAATAGCCTCAAGATTGCTCTGTCACTTCCATCATGTCTGTGTACAATGTTACTGTACTGGAGACATCTTCCTGATGATTCTTTATAAGCACACCTTGATCTTCCCTTCCTCCTTTGTCTCTGTACCTCTCATCAACACCTGCCATACTGCATATTTTTTTGCTCACATTTTTTTTTCATCTGTCTCCACTGCCAGAACTCATGTCTCGTAAGGGTGGTGATTTCGCCTACTGAGTTCTCTCCTGCATCCCCAGGATCTAGGACAGAGGAGTACATATAGCGGGGGATCAATGCAATGTGTTGATGGAGTAGAAGAATCAGTAAACACACTTTTCAGTTAATTAAAGTGTTGCTTTTTTTTTTCAGGAGCCATGTCAACATGATCACCTCGAAGTATAATTAAGTAATTAGGGTGATATTTTGCCACTACAGAGAAAGCACCACATGGAAAATGTTACATTGGAGGAGAACTCATGATCTGGGCTAGAATCCAAAGGCTTCTACCAAAAAAAAAAAAAAAAAAAAAAAAGTAAATTATCTCATTAGTAATTTTAGATTGGTTAGAGGTTGAAATGATCATATGTTGGGTATTTGGGGATAAATAAAATATGCTATTAAATTAATTTCACCAATACACTTTACTTTTTTTCAAGATTTGTTTGTTTGAGAGAGACAGAGAGGGAGCAGGGAGGAAGGGCAGAGCGAGAGGGAGAGAGAGTCCCAGTAGGTTCCACACTCAGTGCAGAGCCCAACATGAGGCCCAATCTCACGACCCTGAGATCACAACCCAAGTGGGAACCAAGAGTTAGTCCCTTAACTGACCGAGCCACCCAGGTACCCCTCACTTTACTTTTTAATGCAGCTATTAGAAAATTTTAGATTATGTATGTGGGGCACCTGGGTGGTGCAGTCAGTTGAATCTCTGACTCTTGGTTTCGATTCAGGTGGTGATCTCAGGGTCGTGAGATGGAGCCTCACAATGGGCTTAGAATGGAGTCTGCTTGAGGTTCTCTCTCTCTCTCCCTCTGTCCCTCTTGCTCATGCTCTCTCTCTCTCTAAAATAAATAAATAAAATCTTTAAAAATAAATACATGCATTACATATATGACTTGTATTCTATTTCAATTGGATAGCACTGTTCCAGATTCTTGCTCTCCTCTTACACACATATACGTGTACATATATATTGTGTTTATTAAAATAGGAGCACACTGCACATACTCTCTCATACACCTGCTGTTTTTGCCTAACAATTTACCAGAAACATTTCTGCAGGTCAGGAAATTAGATTCTCATCGTTATTTTTAAGGGCTCCAGAGTATAACACGAAGTGCCTCAGAGTTTATTTAACCTGTAATAGGATTTGTCTAGGCTACTTCTTTTCCTTTTCTTCTCTTCCCTCTTTCTCTTCTCTTTTTCTCTTTGTTATTGGCATAGAACACCCTGCGACAAGTTGCGTTACAAGAAAACATGTGTACATGTCCTGTTCCTTCCCTAGGATAAATTCCTAAAATATATTTAGGATTCCTGGGAACCAAATAAGTGACAAGCGCCTTGGACCAGCCACTTTACGAGCTGGGGATGCTACGAGGTGAAGCAGCAGAGTGATTTCAAAAGCCTTTGACCAATGGCTTCAAGGCTCAGGTGCACGTGGCCCCAGGACGCAAAAGACAGTGTAATGGGGGGTTGGACATACAGGGTCCTGGAGACAGACAAGTCAGGTTCTGATCCATGTTCTCTGTCATGTCTGACCATGTAACTTCCAGTTTTGTAACCTCTCTGAGCCTTGGTCTCCATACCTAAGAAATAGGATTATCAATTGTACCTCCCGTGTAAGATCACTCTTAGGATTGAATGAGATGCCAGGTTTAATTACTCAGTATGGTGCCTGGCTCTTGGCAAATCTTTTGGTAATTATTAACATTTTTGAGATCTTGTTTGGATCTGCCAATCAACACACATACACGCACACATACATGCACACAGATTTCTGCATTTATGTCATACTCTCCCCTCTCTCAACTACTTTTTTCAAATAGAGATCTATTTGCTAAAATAAATTGAAATGGGTAAAGAATATGAGGCACAATTTATACTAGATATATCTGCAATTACTAACTCTGAATTAAACATATCCCTTCATGAATAATGAAGCAGAAATAGGCCAAAGGAAAAATGAGATAAGATCTTAAATCCATGTATTTTTAATTGCTTCATTATCTAAAATTTGCTATGAATAGCAGTGGATACAGTTTGCTGTTTAAAGCACAAAAAGAAATAGGAATTTTCAGCCAAATCACAAAAGGCTATCAAAAATTAATTTTGTGTGCTGTGATCATTGAAAATGTAAGTGATTTTGAGGCAGAGTGACATTTAAAAATACCATTTATATGCTAATAATGAATGTATTTTCTTCATTTTGATGCAAAATAAATTTTATTTTCATTTTAATGAACTGTAATGAATTATAAGCTTTCTCTTTTTATCTTTGGGTAAAAGTTTGGGACAGAGAGCAGAAGGTTGGCAGATGACAGGCAAAAGGTCTGAGAAGGAATGAAAAAGGGACAGGTCCTGTCAGCTGGTAGTGACCTCCTAAACTGCATGGGAACCTTTGGAGTTGAGGTGGTTTTCTTTAGGTTTCTAGAAATTTCCAACAGTCAGATTTACCTCAGAGGTGACAAGCTATCCATTGGTGCCATATTAGAAAAGGGTATCTATGAACTATATTGAATTAATCATCCTTTATTTCTTACATGGAGCAATATTCACATTGTGGAATTTGAAAGAAGAACGCAGTTATATGACTCTTGGCATGCATACCACTCTCTGAAAGATATTTTTCAATAATAATTTATTCTTTGCCGAAGCCTTACTCTTCTCTGGCACTTGGCTAAGTGTTCGACCCGTTCTTCTATCTAATCTTCATGAGGGCCCTAAGAAGGTAGTATTATTATAATCCTCATCTTACAGATGAGAAACTTAAAACCCAAAGGAGGTAAGCAATGTCGCAGATTGTCCGTTGTGGAGTTTAGATTCAAACTCATATCTGTCTATGAGTTAAGCGTCATACATTTACTTATGTATAACATTGATTCCTTTTTAAAAAGAGGAAATGGGATGTTAATGTTTAAGCCAAATAAATGAATTGCGAATGGTAAAATTTCAGGCATCTGTGAGAAAAAATGCTTGTGGCTGGGGGGGGGGGGTGCGGGCAGGAAGAAAGACACTGGGGTGCCCTGGGATGTCACTGCCCATTCTGACTCCAGGAGGGAGGAACCTGCTGAGAACCTCACCTATGTCCTGGCTACGGTTTAAAGCCCAATTAGTTACTTGACCATTTGAAAGGATGGAGTGCTCGAGACTTCCACACACATGTATCAGGGCATCGGTGGAAAATACCCAGGGCCCTGCTTGGCTGAGAGGCCATTCATTCTTCCTTGAGGGTCTGCCATTATTCTCTGATATCTGACTTCTTTGAAGTGAGGAGCCAAGTTTCCAAATTCATTTCTGTGTGCCCCTCATCCCTTACTCTTAGATCACAGACTGCATTTGCTGACTTGGTTGTTGATGTTAATTCCCTTTAACCAGGGTCTCTTTAAATGGGACCTTGTGAGTTATGGAGCAGTAATTCACCCCTTCAGATCTAGTGGACCCAAGGCCACAGGCCGGCTCCTATTAAATGGAAAGGTCTGAATTATTATCCTATAATTC